AGAGTTTCTGAAACACGGGGTTTTCGGGCATTCAACCAGTGGCCGTGTCTTCAAAAAGTATTTTGGAAATTTATATTCAAAATACCAGAAAATCAATAACTAAAGACAACTTTAAACAGAGAAAACCGTCAGTATCATCTACTTTCCTACATCGTACGTACGCTCAGTCAGTCACAATGTATGATCTCAATTATAATCACAAAATCATGTAAATACCCCACCTGTAGACACACTAGTTTCCCAAAAAGGTCTCCCCCCATGTGACCTTGCCGTTTCTCCCCAGTCCCCGTGACCGTTCTGTGTTTGAGTGACTGACGTTATTTATAAACTGAGTACTTATCATTATTGCATAGTGACATAAATAATAAAAACGATACGTCAATAATTGTACCCAAAAGCTTTAATTTGCATCCACTTGACAATAAAAATATTTCTCGGGGAATAACGCAACCACTATAGCTAGATATCGTAATTAAAGAACTCATTATGGAACTTTAGGAAATTATATTTCAAACCACAAAACAAAACAGGACGTCTGTAGAAGCTACGTTTTTAGCTAGCAAAAGTTTAGCTAGGAAAGGTTTTTAGCTGCGAATCAAATTAATACAAAGAAGGTGGACATTTCTTAATTATTAATTACTAATTATTATTATGAGATGTGTTATAGGAAGACATATTCTAGTGCTTAAAGATTTATGTATGAGTTTTGTCTTAATGTGTTAGGTATCACAAGAGATAGTTAATGTGAACAATGTTTGTTCACCAATAAAGATTTTCCATTATCATCAAGCAAGAAAATATTTCTACAAGCTTCTAGGAGTTAAACAAAAATCAGCTTTTATGGCATTTAAACATGCCCAAAATATCGGAAAAGTGCTTTTCTATGTAATTTAGGTAAATTGAACACAGCTGCATGTGCAAAATATAATTTATTCTTCATGATGGTGGGTACATAATTGTTGCTAAAAACGTTTTTCAAGCATAAAGTGTTTCTTTCTTTTATGCAAGATGTCGATGCGTGTTTTTGTGATTTTTCTTTTAGTTGCTTTCTGCAATGCATCAAATAATGCTTGTCAAAGTTCACAAAGTGTCTTTATAAAGACAAAAGACAACGGTATGTTACAATATAACAAAGATAACGTAATAATGAAAATGAATTTAAGGATATAAAAAACTCGTATGTTTTAAAACGCGTATGTTTTAAAACGCGTATGTTTTAAAAACCATTCTTGTGTTTTATTAACTTAACGTGAGGGAAACATATTTTTCGTTGAACCTTTAACAAAGCTCAAGGTCTTCACCTAGATAAATCCGACCAAGGGCTTTTTAGCTATATACAGAGCCCGTACGGCTAAGTTATCTACTCACAGACTAAAATCCAATATTTAACGGTAATGACCGAGCAGACAAGGTTGGTTGGATTATTACATGACTTGAAACAAAGCTTTCTATCTAGCTTTGTTGGTCTTTAGCTTGATTTGTCAGCAAAATAATTTTTTTTTGAAATCGTGTCATCACACATCTAACTAATAAAACTTACTTCTCTTGTGTCTTTAATTTCTTTGACTCATTTTCGTATATTGCTTGCGTTCAATGCCGAAACTTGTGTAAAAACTTTGGTAGGTGAAAGCTCGCAAAGGTAATTCATCGGACGGATTTATAGTTATAAAGTTTATTAATTTTTGTTAATCAGAAATTTTATCTGCCACCACTGACGCTTAATAAAAATCATGCAGTTTTGCAAGCATAACTTTACACATTTGCAGGGACATATAATTGGCAATACTATAAAACTATACGCCTAAAAGTTTGCGCTCATTTAAGTTTATTTATAGAGGCGTCTTTATGTAGTGCAGCCAAAATTTTTTTGTTAACTGCAGGTGAAAACGTATATTATTCTTAATTTCTCATCTTTATGTTTGTGTTACGGAATCTATCTCCCGTCTAAGGTTGATATTGAATTTCTACATCTAACAATGCATACATGAATTCATTAATCATTACAAGTAAAAACAACTAACTATACGTTGATACAAACTTGAGCCTAATTCACACGACATTAGCTAATCTGGGCTCAACCAAGATTCAAATGAATGCGTGTATGCCTTTTTTGCGTGTGAACACTATTAACACAGGTTTAGCCTGGGTTTAATTCATTCCACTCCTTGATATGGGTTGAGTCAAACCAAGGTTAAACCAGAGTTTTAATGCTCAGCAAACGCAAAAAAGTAGCCCTTGTGAATTTGAATCTTCGTTGAACTCAGGTTTGTTTATGTGATACAAATTGGACTTAGGATAAAATAAATTATACACGGATAAAAACACGGACAAATTAACATGCACAATAATGTGAATACAACTATACAAACATACGATCAAAGAATTTAATGTTGCAAACTAACTATAAATTGATACCATTTGCTGCTTTCGCTGAGCTTACAAAACACCTTCTTCTCTCAGTAAAACTAAACGGAGTTTACACATAACATGTTGACACGTCATGCATTTGTTAAACAATTTGCAGGGCTTCATCTCAAAATTTTTAATGGTTTGTAATCAGATTTTATATACACGAGTACAAAACCTTGCCCGTTGTACTTTCTAAAATAATGGAACAGTGAAATTCCTGAAACTTGCCCGACTAGTCCAAAGATTGTGAAGATTGGAGAGTTTTCTCACCCACCCTTCCTCATACCCTGAGAGAAGTTTCAGGAATTTTAAGACGCTAGACGTTAAAAACGTTTCATATCTCATTTATCAATTAACGCAACAAAAGTCTTAATATTTTTGCCGTGTGGATTGCGTGTTATGAACGAAATACGTTTCTTTTGCATGTTTATATGATTGTTGTCATGAAAATTTCTAAAAAAATCTACTGATGACGATTCAAACGCAAAATACAATTTGGCAAATTTAGGGCAGTATCTTAGCTACCATTGTATCATCCCGTCTATGTAATATACGTACAGAAATTTTTGCGTTTACGTTGGAACATAAATGATGATTGGTTACTTTTGAGAAACGAAGATAATTAAGGACTTTCTTTTGCTTCCTGTCTCATTGAGTTTTGTAAATTTTAATTTTATTATGTATATACTGACCAAAAAGTGGACTTTGTTATCTTTGTGCATAATTTACACCTATTGTAATGTACTCTGTTTGTTCTTTATTTTAAGGTGAGACTCTTTCACCGAAAGATATCATTTCAACTTATGCTGTTCCCAATCACATTGAATGTTTCACAAAATGTCATCAACTGAAACTATGTGTTGGCTTCAATTTCTTATTTGATGCAAAAGAACAGGAGATAAACTGCCAAATTACTAAAATGATAACAGACAGCAATTTACCGAAAGTTGCCTCAGAAGGAAAATGGACTTTTTATCAAACTCAACTATCGACGGTAATAATAAAGAAATTACCTAGTTGATTGGAAAATGTTTCTTAAGTGGGCATTTTGCGTTAATTTTATATAATTGATAATTCACGCAAATTTTCTCTAGGTAAGTCTTGTGCAAAACTATATTAAATCTGACTTAAAATTCTTTTAATAAGAAATTTTGCTCAGTTTTTTGTTAACCTGATCAAGTGTTCGTTTTCGAAATCATCTTTTTGGAAACCCCCATAATATCCTGCAGGCATACTTTTATTTTTAAGCTTTCTTTAGTACTGCATTGATTAAAGCATATTGGATTAAAGGGGTTATATCACGAATTTTAGCCCCCCTTTTTTATTAGCTTAATTGAAAATTTGGATTATTTGAAGAACTATGACATGTCGCTGGACTTAAACAGATAAATATAAGTTCCTTAATTTTGCCTCCAAAGTCGGGTACTTTTTGCGAATTTTTTACGACGCCATATTGATACTTGTGACGTAGATAGTTGAACACGTCTGTTTCCGTCAATATAATATTATATTATAGGAGGTGATTTTGTTGTCGTTTTCTTGTGTTAAAACAAATAATGACAGTATTTTCAATAAAATATTAAAAAACAAGTTGTCCGGAAAGTATGGCTTCAAATCAGTGCTCAGATAATTCGAATTCGATGTCTGAATGCGTATCTGATTCGAGCTCGGAATCCGTGGGTTATGTCGAGCATTTAAACGACTTCGCATATGACGATGAACCGCTAGCAGGAGATGGTGATGAAGTGCATACTCCAGATGATCCCGATGGAATTCTCCCTGCGATCTTAGAACAACGAAGTGATGGCGTAATTCCACTCGGTGAATGGTAAGTTGTTGTTTTCTCCTGTTTGTAATATACATAAAGTTACTTTATAATAAACCACAATGCTCCCACGTTTCAGGTGTAATTGTCAATGCTGTCATACCGATTTGTTAGAAGGCGCATTAGAGTACAGATGCTGTAAGGAAATAGGACCAGCTTTGCAGAAAATGACATTCGATGGCAGCATTGAGAAAATATCATGCATAACACAGCATGCCAAATTTGGGCCTTTAGTTCATGAGGCTGTCCTTGAAAACGTCGGGCCACTATTGAGAGATAGGAATGGACGTGCTTATCGCCGCCAAGCATCACAATCATTAAATATGTAAGATTGTAAATTGTATGAGAAAGAATGTTATCATCAACATTGTTTCATCAACAATAATTAGTCCAACCTTTTTATTTACTTCAGGTACTTGAGAGCTGTGGCATACAGATGGTTGATGCGATGGTTTTGTGGGTCTATGGGATGGGAGAATACTCGGCCTTTACCTGCTTGTGTTTACCACTTTATTCGGAAAGCATATCCAAGTGGTAACACAAAGGTTACATACCATCAGAGGGGCGATGATGGAAAGGTCTTTAACTTGTGCACTGTAGAGACTGTTGGCCTTCTTTGCTGAGTTTAGAATGGTCAGGAAATATGCCTAGATGAAAACCAAATAGGAGATACATGGATGCACTATACGGTAAAGAAAATCTTTTCTTCAATGTCAGTCTGGGAAAAAAAGAAAAATTATATGGAATTAAATCATAGCATAAATGTAAAATGGAAAATAGCAAGCCACATGAACTTATCTTATAAGGTCTTCACACTTGAGTGCACTGCATCCACAAAGGGCATGTTGAGCATTAAACTACAATAAAAAATTATTCATGAAAATTAATTAGTTGCACAATCGAGTGAGATAGTCATCTTCAATCTGACAAGTATACATACCATTCAATGTTATATTAATACTGTAATCATCAGGAAAGGTGTGTATATCAGTGCCCAGATAGGGAGGCTAGAGGGTACTATCACTTGCCTAAGGTGAACCCTCAGGCTGGTGGTGGGAAGGAGGTGCCTTACTTCTCCATTCCAGACAGGCTCCAAGCAATGTCTGACCACTGCCCTATCATCTACCAACTTCAATTTATTCTTTTTCAGTGAAGCATTGACCTCGAGGATGTCCTTTCATTGGAGCTTTGCATTTAGTACATTTGCGAGTACTTTTATTCCCAGAGCTATTTAATATTTGATCTGCATCATCTGTTAGGTCTTGTAACTGCTGTCTTTGCTGTTCCACTAAGGAAAAAATGCAGATCATTTTGAAACTTCTGGGCCTTTTTCTTCAAAGATGCTTTTGTCTTTTTATACCAGCTTAAAGTCTTTTGTAAAGATGTAAGTTTTTTCTTAAGACGATGGCACGATTTACATGGAGACTGGGATTCACAAATATCTTCACCAACTGCATGTAGTTCTTCTTCAAATGGCGAATCGTTTGCTTCCCCAGTGCATACTTCAACATGCTCAGCTCCATCACTAGTAGATGGTACTTCCTCATCGAGAGAACATGTTTCCTTCAGCGATGGCTTATGGAGAGTATGTCGAATAATCTACAAAACATATATCGAATTTACATATGACAAAAGAAAAATTAACATAAACAAGCGTAAACTTACTTGTCTGCGCTTTCGATCGGTTATTTCGTCCTGTAATGGTTCAGGAATCCCAGCCACGTCAATGGTTGGGATAGCATCTTTCTTCAACCTTCTTTTGAGCTTGACTTGCACGCTCAAATTAAGGTCAAAACAAGAATCTTCAAAATGCGCAGAACACAGACACGAGGTAGAGGAAGCCTCAAAACCCGGTCTATGTTTACGCACAAAATTTACCCATTTTCTATGTCTTTGCGGCTCTGTTTCTTTATTAGGAAACAGATGCATCGACATTCCTTCTGTTTTGAATCATTGGCGCAACTAATTTGATTAGGTCCGCCAGCAACACAGCGTTTTCCTCCGCGTTTCTTATTAAGATTACTAGTAGAATACGCCATGTTGATATATGTGTTCAACTATCTACGTCACAACTCATTAGCATACCGATCAAAAAGTTCGCAAAAAAAATGCTGAAAATCGTGACTTTGAACGTCCATAAAATCACTTTCACCAATCCAATTTCAATTATAATTGCAGATTTAAAATCACTGAAATAAGGTCTTTCAATTTAGCTAATAAAAAAGGGGGGGCTAAAATTCGTGATATAACCCCTTTAAAGCAATGCATGATAAATATTACCCTTTCTTGCATTTTTAATACAATGTAATATAAAATACCTACAGCATTTTGAAAATATAGCTGGTGGAAAACTATGTACTCATTACATTTATATTGGCAATGAAATGGATTTTCGTTTGTCAGTTTAACAAAAAATAAATTTCTATTTTAGCGAAGACAGTAAGGAGTGTTGAAGAATCTTGCACATGAAAAGATTTGTGTTATTCCTTTATTAAGAGATATATATTAATGATCACTGAAATGCTCGCTAAGTCATTATCAATAAAAACATCAGTTGATGTTTAGAATCAGTTAATATCATTCAATTTGTCTGCTTAATTTTCAATCATTTATATTAAAAATATGATAACATTACCTAAATAAAAATTTGGGCATTAATAAAATAAAACATATTGTCTTTAAATCGGAACGGTAGTTCATTAACCAACTTTACCACGCCTGTAGCATCCTAAATAATGTTTAATTATAATATTAACTGATTTATGCATGGAAACTATGCATTGGTGAATTTCAAATATAAAATGTAAAATTCCGAAATGTTCAAGTGCGATTTTGCTTCTACTCAATTTGACCATTTTAAACAGGTTTTGTGTTCTTATAATGAAAGTTTGCGGTAAGAGACGTTGAATTCATTTATCATCATAACAAGGCATTATTACCACCCTTTCTATTTAAACATGCTCTGCATCATGTACGTACAGACAGCCGAACGATAACTGACAATATCAGAAGATATATTTGTTTTCTACAATAAATCAAACACGCCTCAGGTCACAGAATCGCTATAAAATAAATTGATCTTTTAAGTTACTGAAATTCTCTTGATTTCAAAGATAAGAATTCAATTGTAATTATCTTGAGTCAATTTTAATGCTAATTTGTGTTTACATTGAATTATAAAATATACAAAATAGTTATTTAGCACAATGGATGTATGCGCAGGAAAGCTGTGTAACAATTTGCTTATAGGTTTAATGAGTTACAAAACCCATAAGGTGAAACAAAAAAGGTGAAAAAAAGAACGGAGTTTATGAAATTGATCCAGATGGCCAAGGCAGATTCAGTGTCTTCTGTTATATGACGTCATCTGGTGGAGGTTGGACTGTGTTTCAACGTCGTGAAGATGGAAGTGTAAACTTCTATCGCGGTTGGAAAGACTATAAACAAGGATTTGGTAATCTTACTTCTGAATTCTGGCTTGGATTGGATAAAATATACCGACTAACATCAGCCAAGAGAAATAAACTTCGTGTTGACCTGGGAGACTGGTCAGGAAACAAAGCATATGCTGAATATGATTATTTTGCTGTAAAGAATGAAAGTAAAAAATATCAACTAAGTCGTGGAGCATATTCTGGTGAGTCAATACGTAAATATAAACGGGAAAATTTCTAATCGTGAGTTTGACATATGCAAAATGTTGGAATGATTTGAGTGATTGCAGTTTGCGATGGGGGATTCTGCAAGTTTTGAAAAAAACGGATAGTAACGGTTGGTTTCGAACTAAAGCCTTGTTTATCAATAAAATTATAATTAATTTTGAGCTTAAAAACTTACCGAAAAAATACAACAAACAAACGTAAACTAAAAAGTCGTTCCAATTTGCGAACGATTCTGTTGCAAAGATTGATTGTGACATGTAATAATTGTGATTAACTTATCATTAACATGAAATGCAAATTCAACTGCAGCTTTGTAAATTACGTAATGATAACCTAGCACCTGAACAACATGTAGTTAATAAACACGACTAAATTATTTGGTACATAAGAAAGAATCTATACTGTGAATACGATTGTCTAATGATCATTGACTGAAATCTTTTTTATAAAATGCAAGCATTGAAGTAAGCCCTAGTAAATAATTGTAAATGCAAGTTTCAATGCCTAAATGATGTATACATTATAACTTGTTCTATCATGTAAAAGTTTTTTATGAACTTAGCAACAACCTAAAACATAACAGAAATTTATTTAAGTTTACATGGACAATTCACTTTTATAAGCATGAAACACAAATATATCAATTGAGCCTCGGAAAATACCCAGGTGCGCCATTAAGTAAGGTCTGTTTCATAAGTCAAACTTTACATGCACCGAACAGAGCCCTCTATTTGTAAGAGTTGGGACATGTATTGTTCTCTGGTTTGCGAACGTTGACTGGACAATATCGATCACATGATTAATTTCCGCATTTTCGTTCCTAATTTTGAAATTTCAACTAGTGCTTATATGGCGATTATTACAAGTTTCTTTGTATTTTGAGAAAATATTTTGATTTTTTGGAGGTATGGTTACAGTAATTGATTATTTGATAGCTAAAACATGTAACTATACACTAGGTGCCAAAAAAATGAGTCCAGTTCCAATATTGGAAAAATTTGTGGGAAAAAATGTGTCTTTTGAAATATATAGTTACAGTAGTCACTTGAAAATGCGCAGTGAGACCTGAAATTGTCTTTCACAATTGTTTGCATGATATTTCACAATATCTCAGCCCATGGGCAGTACATTGGGAAATGGCTAAAGATTTAAATGAAGGAGTTAAAGGACAAATTGTTGCTCTCACTAACGAAGGTTACTCACAACGAAATGTTGCTGCAAAGCTGGGAGTGTCCAAAGGAGCTATACAGCGAACCGTGGGAAGATTTAAAAAGACGCAATTTTATTCCAGCTTACCAAAACCTGGGAGACCATGTATAACAACAACAAAAGAAGATCAGTTCATAAAGCTAAGTTCTTTGCGCAACAGACGAGCAACTGCTAGCAACATTCAATTGTCAATTAACGCCACCCGAGAGAAAGCAATCAGCAAAACAACAGTGAGAAGGAGATTGGCTGCAAGTGGTCTGAAAGGAAGAGTTGCAGCTTCCAAGCCGTTGCTTCGCCCGATAAATAAGCGGAAGAGATTCTCACGGGCCAAAAAGTACATGCATTACAACGTAGACAATTGGAAAAAAGTACTTTTTACTGGTGAATGAAAGTTTGAAATACATGAAAATAATCGCCGTGTTTATGTGTGACGAAGATGTGGTGAAAGATTGTCAAGTCAGTGCCTCAAGTCCACCGTGAAGCAGGGGGGTGGAAACATTCAAGTCTGGGGCTGTTTCAGCTTTAATGGTGTTGGTAGTCTTTACAGAAGAAAAGGCAATCTTGACAAAAAGCAATACCATTCTATTCTACAAAGGCATGCTGTACCATCTGGCAAAAGGTTAAGCGGAAGAGGATTTACCTTACTTCAGGATAACGATCCGAAACACAGCTCCAACTTGTGTACAAATTATTTAAGGAACAAAGAAAATCAAGGTGAATTGAAGCTCATGGCATTTCCGCCTCAATCGCCCGATGTTAATCCAATTGAACACTTATGGGATGAGTTAAAAAGAGAAAAAGTGAAACGTGACGTAACAAGCCAGGACAGGCTATGGGATGTAATCTCTACATGTTGGCATAATATTGAAAAATCTACACTTCAAAATCTTTTTAAATCAATACCAAAAAGAGTTGAAGCCATTTTGAAAGCTAAGAGAGGACATACCATATACTGATATTGCTTTTTCGAGAACTTAAAACCTAAAATTGTTGTGACAGAGTGGTGATATGGTTCAAAACTAAAAATATGCATTCGATATTTAGTGGACACATTTTTTTGGCACCTAGTGTATATCGCCAGAATCATGGAATCGGGAAAAAAGAAAGAAATGGCTTTACGATAGATTGGGTTGTGCGTAGTGGCCATTGTGTCTAACTGATCTTGAACTAAAGGTTTATTTACGAAGATTGTTTTCGAGTAAAACATCATTGGAAATATTTGTCCTAATGCTAACGATTCAATAGTTTTCCAACATGCAAAGTCTGTGCTTTATAGAAAGATTATGACTTATCATTATGTTGAGAAATGACTCTAATTTACAAGTTCTTAACCATTTCAACAGATAATTATTGTTAATCCAATATGCTAAAATAATATACTTTCGAATATTGTATTTTGCATCTTTAGGAAATCCTTTGAAAGTATAGTATCAGTAATCATAAATAAAATATTTACTGAAACAGCTAGGTAAAATACATTACTGGTAATAAAATATATATTCTGGCTGTACTTTAAACCAGAGCATGTTCGATTTGGTTATCAATGATTATTTCTGGTCTTTACACAATCAATGATTTGGTGTGGTCTTTGGTCTTTATAATTTGGAAAAATATGCAGAAGTTTTGTCATTACTCAACTTATTAATTTTCTACGCTTTATTAAAAATTGGATTAGACTCATATACAATATCAAAGTCTGTACAAACAGTAACATTTGTAGCGAAAAAGAATGTTCTTCAACAGCAGAATTATTTTATAATACACAAACATAATTTCCTTTTCAACAAATGCCGCACCAAAATAGAAGCCTATACCATTTTGTATTTTAATTCAACTTTAACTATAATCACAGTTTCACAATCAATAAAGAAATCAACAACTTCACTTTAGATTAATACAATATAAAAGCTACTGCATCTAACAAATATTTTAAATTCATACTTTTCCAGCAAAAAACCTTTGTAATCTGTCTGCATTAAATTTTTATGCCTGGACTACATTGCAAAATATGTACTACCAAAGCAAAATTTCATGACTACAGTGCTTCAAAACAAAACTTTGTACAACTATGGATAACACCGATTCAATGGTAGACACAGTTTAAGTCAAAATACATATATTAGTCACAATACATTATAACAGCTCAATTGTTAATTTTTTAACATTCGCTGCCTCCCGAATCTGGATTTCTATTACTGCTTATATTAATGACAACCAGCGAAAACAGCAACGATACCGTAAGCATAAAATGTTGAAAATAATGCTTCAGGTTTTTGTGAAATAGACATACACATTTAAATGAGGTAAATCTACCTGAAAATAACGTACATTTTGTCAAATAATGTTTAGCTATATTAGAAATAAATATCAAACGGCATTCTTAACACTGTAAATGTGTCGTTGAGCTAAAATGCATAATCCCATTAGCATTACTTGTGTTTTTGACTGTTTGATAACAGCTTGGTGCAACTGTCTTTCTTAAATAGATGGGTAAATCTTAGTTAGAATGTCCAAAAGGAGTTAGAAAAGTTAGCTTACCTACGACTTAATCGACTGGAAATATATTGTAAGTAGGTATGTAATTTTTGAGTTTTTGGTAAGATTGATTCTGGGTGTCTTATAAATATTATGATATTCTGATAAATCTACTAAGAACTTATGAAAAAATATCTTGAACTAGGAGAGCAAAAGAACAAAATTCAGAAATTCTATAATCATGTTGCTGGTTCTGTTTTGAGCCAAGATATTAGAAACTGGATTGTCATTGACAACCATGGATCTACTACTGGACAGAACTACATTAATTTACCATTGAAAGTACTATTTCTTAAAATTAAAGTGCATTGGTTTCTCTGACATAACACTTTTCTTATTGCTGCATGAAGGCAAACCTGTTTAAATAATTATAATGTAGGTGAAGATATTTAGCATGTTGTATAATTGTTAATGTACAGTTATTATTTATAAAATTATGGCCTTGTGTAATGTATGTCAAGAAGAACTTATTAATTCTCAAAATGCTAACCTTCTTGACTATTTTTCTCTTGTGTCCTTACAAATTACAGTTACCTATACTAATTTTTCTAGGTTCAAACAACTTGAAAACTTTTGAATTTTACATTATGCCTTTGAATTTTTCTTTTTGTCTTTTGGTAAAAATATCAGTGAATGACTTAAAATCAAGTTTTTCTAATATAGGATTTTGTACAAAGTAACTATACATAATTGGAAAAGTCTCATATTGAAGACAGATGTTGCTTCTTTTACTAGATTGCTAGTCTTACTCTTTTAAATGATATCGTAATTCTTCAAAAGACATAAAAGTTCTTTGCCATCAATTTTTGCTTCTTCCACATTCAACTTCAATGCAACCAATGCATCTTATGTGAATTTTTAATCACCTGGAATTGAAAAACGTATGGATTTTGTCAGATGATGCAGTACTAAATATAATGTTTCATGCATGTCATCATAAGCTTTTCTTGAGCAAATATTTCAAGGTAGGCAAAAATTTGGCACATTATTGAACAAAGTAGTTTTATCTTGATTTTGATATACTAACCTATTTACTACACTGCATAACAAACAATTCATTTACAGAGACACCAGATGGCATTTATAAAACTTTTAGCAAAAAGCAAACCTTTACACACCATCATCATGATTTTCCGTAATCTGTCAAATTGTCCAGGTTTGCTGTTTAATACAGGTATTTTTATTGTACATGTACCAAATCGTTCATTAATTAATCCTGCACTGCATTTGATTTCAATACAGTTCTTTCCTTAATATTTGCTTCATATTTTCAGAAAAATATCATGAACAAATCCTCCATTTTAACTCAGTTGAAACAAGGAGTTTTAAGATATGCATATCACGATAAGAACTGGTTGCTTTGCCTCGTCTAGCAAGCGATTAAGTAAAGAACAAATAAGACTGCATAAACATAACTTAGATTACAACTTAGGAGTAAAAATATTCACAAAATATATGCCATCACACTTCAAGTATTGACTTAAATCAAAACACAGAACACTTTAAATAGTAAACAATCTTACGTTGCTTACCGGTGTCATGAAATGTTTCCTTTTCTGGCATTACTTCAGCATCCGTATACCAAACAAGTTTGCACCATGTTTTAAAGATAAAATTTCTAAAGTTTTTATGCTTGGCATTGATATTTTATATAATCGCAATTGTGGTTGTCAAATCCGGGTGGGCGAAAAAAATTTTATTTTATGAGCCCGCGTCTTTCCGCTGACTTTGACAACCAAAATCCGCCATGTTATTGACCACACGGCCGCGCGCTAATAATTTAAAGTAATTTGGTTGACATTTCCCCTCCAGGTCTTATAGAACTCAATGGTCACAATTAGTTTAAAAGCACGAACTAGTCAACAGCGAATGTAGCTCAAATCCACGAAATTGAGTTTGGTTTGCAGTAATTATTCACAAAAACGCCAAAAGCTAGATTGTGGTTTCCGATATATTTAAAATTTCCATCAAACTAGGCTGAATTTCTTTATTATTTTGCTCATTTAGCCATTTTCACACAGTTTTATTACAAGTTTAACTTGCAAGTAGTCACGAAAATGGCGGCTCCGCGCTCGCCCCAGACCCGTTGTTCTAGCTCTGGCACCGAACGCATTAAAGACAAAAGAAAATGTGATAAAATTCCAAATTATCTGTTGTTTTAAATGCATTCGGCTTATTTAAAACGCTACGTATGAAACAGGCCAAAGCAAACAAATTTTGAAAATCTATAATATAATAAGAATCAGTCCAAGTAACAATTGAGATCAATGTGAATAGACTGGGTAGAGAAAAAACTTCAGGGCAATGAAGGTGGGGTGAAAGAAAGTTAAAAAGCCTTCGTGACATGTAGCTAATTCGTAGACAACTTTTACTTTTGCGATTTACTTGATTTCGAGAAGGATAAATGGTTTAATAAATTAGTAACAACAACTATAATACCAGCGATATTGTCCAGTCAACATAATTGTGCATGATTGTGGTTGGGACTTCCGCAATTCTTAAGGAGAATTGTAAAATAACATCAGCTAAATGACGTAAAATTTTTCTGAGCAAAATTACTTTTTTTTAGGAACTGCTGGAGATTCATTACGTATTCATAATGGCATGGCGTTTTCAACAAAAGATTCAGATAATGACAAAAGTGGAAGAAACTGCGCCACTGTCCTGAAAGGTGCTTGGTGGTATAATAATTGTCATTCTTCCAATCTGAATGGGCACTACTATAGTACAGCACTCGACGGTGGGAGAAGTGTGAGTTGGCATTCTTGGAAAAAAAACTATAAATCCTTAAAGTTTTCAGAGATGAAAATGAAAATGACAAAGAATATTTAATATTGTGTTTTCTTAACTTTCATGAATACATCTTATGAAACTTTGCATAATATTGACATTTGATAATAATTCTTTCAATAGAACCTTTACCATCATCATTCTTTTAAAATAGCGTGAAAAAAATTGTTGAAAAATGCTGTGGTAAAATAATAATTTTTTTCCCCAAATGATGGCATATTTAATGATATAGTTTTGCAGTGACGTCTTTTCTAACGATTCTTTGACGTTTGCGCTGAAAGTAAATTGCAAAAATTTTGATGTTTTTTGCCTCGTTCTCACGCCATCTTGGATTTGTCATGCATTTCATGCGACTATCTGATATATTATCTGGTTTGTCATGAAGCAATATTGTTCCCGCCAAAGAGGATGGTTGCACATAACCTATTGACAACACAGTGTATCTAACTCCTTGTTGATTAGATAGAGTTAAACCACTAGATAATTCATTTGAAAATTTGAGTAGAAACCCCGTTATGCAAGAAGACTTTGAATGAAGACGCAAACAAGCAATTGTGTTGGTGGAGATAATTTACATACATGCTACATCTGAATGACATTCTTTCTAATCACCAAAAAATGTACTTCACCCTAAACATCACAATGGATTTTACCATTATCGTGACGCAACTTGTCTCCAGGTTTCTCCTCGGAAAAATGCCTGAAATGATTTAAGCATTCCATTCGAAAAAGGGCGTATTCCTGAAAAAAGAGAAGTAATCAAGCAGATGAAGTCAAATTAACTACAGCTCAACTTTAGCCTTCAGGAGGACCATAACATTATCCCATTATACTGACAAGGCAATCTTATTAAAATAAAATTTACTAAGGATTAATTGAGAAAATATTTACTGCAAAAATGTAAACAAGTTAGTGTACATGTTAGAGGCCCATTCAACGTGCAATAATGCACCAGTTAAACTGCATGCAAATAACTCTGTTTGTCTGTTTAGGTTTTAATAAAATTTTTGAATTCATTCGTTTTCATTATTTTTATTTCATAGAAGAAACAGAATATATATTTCGCAAAACATGTTTTGTTTAGATAGATAATTTTATTTTAACACGATTACCATTGTCAACATACAAGTTGATTTCCACATGGGGCGTGTGCAAATAACACTGGGCAATGGTGATAAAAGGCGTGTAAACTCACAGTTCTTTTTAAGAACTGTTTAAACTACCATCTTGCAGTGAATGTAGTATTTGCGTAACATTTTCTATTTAAGTTGAGGTTCGCATTTCTCAAGATATTTTCTGACGATTTTAAATACATTGTTTGTAAAACTAATACGTTGTATGTGAGACTAATACGTTGTATGTGAGACTAATACGTTGTATGTGAGATTCATACGTTGTATGTGAGACTAATACGTTGTATGTGAGATTAATACGTTGTATGTGAGATTAATACGTTGTATGTGAGACTAATACGTTGTATGTGAGATTCATACGTTGTATGTGAGACTATTACGTTGTATGTGAGACTAATACGTTGTATGTGAGATTCATACGTTGTATGTGAGACTAATACGTTGTATGTGAGATTAATACGTTGTATGTGAGATTCATACGTTGTATGTGAGACTAATACGTTGTATGTGAGATTCATACGTTGTATGTGAGATTAATACTTTGTATGTGAGACTAATACGTTGTATGTGAGATTAATACTTTGAATGCGAGATACATTGTTCGATGTAGAATGTTCCTTATAAGATAGGGTATTTTAAAAATAGCAAATGGTGTTTAGGATACAATACCACGGTACGACAATACAAGAAAGAAAAAGTCAAATTCAGTCACGTGATGTAAATCTAACGGTAAACAACACTATTGAACAATTCATCTACTTACGAGATAACCAAAATTGATCGACGACTTATAACTTTGAAGTATTGAAAACATCGCCCAAAAGAAATGAGAAAGAAGAGACAATCTATAGAAAAAAGGAAAACAAAGCTGATGTTATTTCATAAATATTTTTAAAACATACGTAAAATTAACATTTATTCGCAGAAAAACAAAACCGACGCCAATATGTAAGCACATGCGTACAATAGGTAAAAAGTTACTTGAATAGGCTGTGTAATAAAAGCCTGTAAAGGTATACATAAAACCGACCTAAATTAAATGGCGTCATTAAACCCTAAACTGACGTATTCCAAAAACTAAACCTTAAATAAACGAGAACTACGTCAGTCAATCAGTCAAGACATACGTACTCATAGAAATCTAAGAATTTCCAAAATTTATCTTGCGCTATATTAATACAAGAGGACGATTGTTATAAAATTTACCTATCAGCTTCGTCGATAACTTTTTCAATCTCGTCTAACGTGACATCAGTCGTTTCATTGTAAGCTTGTAAATACGCACGGATGAAAAATACCTGAAATTTCGAAGAGTTTAGAATAAGAATTTTTCACGAAATTTTTATTTCATGAGCCCGCGCCTTTCCGCTGACTTTGACAACCAAAATCCGCCATGTTTTTGACCACGGGCCGCGCGCTAATAATTTATAGTAATTTTGTTAACGTGTTCCCTCCAGGTGTCATAGAACTCAATGGAAATACCTCTACGGCAAAACACCGACGACAAAAAACCTCTACGGCAAAACACAGACGACAAAAAACCTCTACGGGAAACACCGGGAGAAAACCTGTACGGCAAAACACCGAGAGGAGAAAGCAAAATAAGCAAAGCAATCAAAAGCAAAAAAAAAAAACACGAGAAAAACAGAAATAAAGTAGTGAGAATAAATAGTTATACCGCAAGGAAAAGCAAAATCATCACATCATTAACACATGGTAGCTATAAATGTTGTAATTCAATTCAAGCAATAATAGATAGCCACATTGTAAACAGCAGATCATCCTTTTCATATGAACTATAGTTCGGGAGTTATTTTTAACCATAAAATTGTATTTATTTTTTCTGAAATTATTACATATATTAGTGAATTACCTTTTGATCATAAGAGGGATATTTGGAGACGTCTCCGGTAAAAAAGGGATAATGTGGATAATTATAATCAAATATGCATTCACTGAAATGATTACCAATATCGTATCCTCTGAATAAAAAAATAACAAATATTATAAAAAAGTTTGACGAGGTAAACAATGTTTAAAATAAGAAAAATTGAACAGTTTTGATGAAATAAATAATTTAAAATGTTCAAGAAGAAAGATGAGCAGCCGGTTGAAAAGCATTATGGGTGCAATATGGTTGTTTTGTTGCCAGCTCTCCCCTTGCTCAATTGTTGACTGCTTTAAAGCCCGCCGCACACTGGTAAACTTGCCGCGCGTACTCGTTATTCGTGACAAGTGGGATCGACAAAATTTCCTAGTGTGCGCGGAAGTTTTGAATAACATTTGTCATTCATGACAGATGAGTCAAATATCAAACGCGCGTTTGTTTAATTTTGTCGATCACACTTGTCACGAATAACAAGTACGCGCGGCAAGTTTACCAGTGTGCGGCGGGCTTAAGTGAACAAACAAAACCCTTGCTATCATAATATTTGACAACTCTACGCAGCGCAAAGATGAAATAATATTCCAGATATAGAACAAAATGTCTCCTTTCTTCCTTCCTCATTTGCGGTTTAAACGAAAATTATCCTTCTCTCTTTTTTTTCACCTGTAGTTATAACAAGAATATTCGAAATCAATCACACGAATTTTCGCCTCATCGAGATCTTCATTTGCTTTCACCAACAAGTTTCCTGTAGGTATTTAAATTATATTTAACCTTTATTAAAAACCCATAATATTCACAATAACCTAGTTGGAAATGTTTACCTGGTTGTACGTCATTATGGCAGAAGAAAACTGGTGATTGGCTGTTTTCAACCACGTGCCTAACACATCAACAACAAAATAACAATAATGTAAGCAACACTTAAATTCATTGATCCTAAAACATCTTTTTGGAACATAAGTATTTCCAGTTTAATTAACTTTGTACATGATTTGTGCATAGCATTGCAGCAGTTAATGTCAAATTAATGATTTGTGATTATGTGAATTTAAAGTACTCAAAAATCTATTGTTTTTATTCATTGAGTACTGTGGTTGATTGACTGTGTGTCCAAGTAAGTAAGTACGTCATACAATTGCTTCAATATAATGTTCTTCTTTGTAAAAATTCTTAAGTAAAGGCTACGTAGTCCAAAGGCAGCATAATAAAAATAAACCCGCAGAAAAATAAGAAGCCATTATTTTTCTATCATGACGTTGATATTTGATCTTCATCTGGCATGAAGCATACAATTTTTTAACATCACTGTCAGACTACTGGCTAGCAGTAGTAGTAGCTAAAACAGACAAGGACAACCTAATGCATATGTGTAAAAATAAGCATTCATTTATCATGTAAGTAATAAAAAAAATTTACTGTGTTTCTAAACGCGGGAAAGTTTGGAAGAAAAAATAAAATGCGTGGCAAGCACGAGCACGAATTGAGTACTTTCAATGAATTTCGAGTTGCTCCAAAACTTTCACAAGTATGTATTTCATTCATAAATGAAAACCAACATTAAAAAGACAAATTTAACGACATATTGTTTAAATTTTCCGTGTCCACGCAAACCACGCAATCTGCGATACTTTTGCGAGACTGAAAAAGAGTTTCTGATAAAAGGTGTTTGCGAGCATTCAACCAATCAGCGCCAATCAAATTTATATTCAAAATACCAGAAAATCAAAGATTAAGACAACTTTAAAAAGAGAAAACCGTCAGTATCATCTACTTTTCTAGCTAATCCTACATCGTACGTACACTCAGTCAGTCACAATGTATGATCTCAATTATAATCACAAAATCATGTATATACCCCACCTGTAGACACACTAGTTTCCCAACAAGCTCCTCCCCCCACACGTGACCTGTCTCCCTAGTCCCCATGACCGTTCTGTGTTTATGTAGCTGACTATTTTCCATACCTGATATATTTGAGAATTTCATCAATGTCAAATTTATGAAAAATTTCATGCAAGATCTTCAATTTATCAACATTGGAAAATTTAAGACCTTTAATTTCCTTCACAAATCTATCAAAAAAAAATATAGACTATGTACAATCGACGTATTATATACTGCACACTGTGATAAAATAATAATATAAGGAGATGGTGAGGTCATTTCGAACAATATGAAATCTTGAATATATTTAAAAAAAAGTTGTAACAGAAAGTGGGTTTACTTCAAAACTATTTCAGATTGGTGCAAAAGATTCAAAAAGACAAACTCACATTTGAAGTGAATCCAAAAACCAAGTTCCTTCCTTTGAGAGAGGAAGTTTTAGCTTATGAAATGCAGCTACATGCTCAGCTATTTGTCGTGATAAACGAGGATACTGGACTTCCCAACTAGTCAATGCTCGAACCTTTAACAAATTATAACACAAGTAAATTAAGCTTTGGTAAACAATGCAAAAATTAATGTTGCAAAAATTTTAACTATTTAACAGTTTAATTCAAAAATTATAAATTCTTTCCAACACAAATGAGAATGAATTTACAATTTTTCTATACAGACTGTATGAGTATGAAATAATCTGATTATACCACTATCAGTGGAATACAAACTCAGCTGTGCTAGAACAGATTTAGTTTGATATTAAAGCTGGAAAGCTAGGGCATGTTCTTTCCATATAAGTAGGTGGTATACTCACTATTAAAAATAAACTTTCCTTACATTAATCGCTGAATTTTTTTGCTACTTACATTAGGAATAAACTGTTCAAGTCTTCCTTCAGGAAATATACCATACAACTCTGGGGCCATCTTTTTTTCAGCTAAAAGGCCGCAAATGATGCATTCCTCCATCATGCGAACATTGTTGTCAGACAAATCTGCATAGAATGCACCATATAGCCGAAGCAGTGCTTTGTTCACACCATCAGGATTTGAATTTGCATATTCATGTGGCAGAGAGCACAGAAACAAATGATTTGTTAATCCACCACTGTAATTGTTAAAAACGTATTGATTATAATAATCACTCAAACTATGATTTCATCTCTTCTGAGTGGTAAGTTTATCAACAAAAGAAAAATGATAGACAAGCATAGAGGTAAGATCAGAGCATTGGTTAAAGAAATATACAAAATAAGCCCATTCTTAGATTAATCATATCTCACAAGATCTTTTTTTCCGGAAATTAATTTCTAAATCAAAGGCACTATTATGATGGTATTTTGCATATAAAACAAGGATGCTTATTTTATTTCACACATGTATTCTGCCTCCACCCTTGAACAAAACTAAAACAGCTTTGAACAAGAAAATATCAGACATAAGAAATATGAGACATGGAAGTTGGAAATTACAAAAAAATTAGCTGCACTTGAGAAATTTTATCACTTTCATGGACAGACAGCAGAGAATAATTGGTGGAGAAATTTCTACATATTAAGATAACCTGGACTTCAGATGTGGCCTTTTACACACCGAAGATATCTTTCTGAAATCCATCACACTTTGCAATCTGCAGCCTTGCTCAACTACAGAAAATCTTTCATATTGCATGGAAACATATAAATCTTGAGAAGAAATTTAGTGTGGCAGCAAACACAAACAGCCCAGCACTCTTAAAATGTTGGCAATAGAGATATAGAGAATATTTTCACCTTAAATATCATTGAGAACATTTTTACTATTAAATAAATGCCGCCGCATCTAAACAATATAGTTCTTACAGTTACGTATTCGAAAATTGTACTTACTGAATTCGTTCAATTTCAAAATGTTGTGGACTGATTTTCTTCCATTCCTCACCAAGATATTTTCGACATAAATTATAGCCGAAATCTTTGATCTTAGCGTCAACCATTTTTCCAGTAAGAAAATAATTTTTCAAACTACGCAGAACTTTGTAGCGAAGCATGGTCGAAACCAGCCAAGCAACAACGCAGTCATTTTAACGATGGCTTGAGAAATGTGTCGAATTTACTCAAGAAATGACAACAATCACTGATTCTACGTTCGTTGAAGGTCGATCATGAGGTCGTTTGGTAAGATGAGGTGTAAAATTGCAAGAACTTTGCACAAAGTACATGCAACAAATGACATGTTCAACGTAAACAAAGCTTTAGCCATGTGATACTTATTCATTCGTGCACAGAAGGCGGTCTACCATTTCCTGTTATGAAGTGACGTGTAAACTTCATCCGTCAACATCACAATATTCTTTCCAACAAAACTAATCGTGAAAACACAGAGCCAAAGGACTTCTAGAAAACGATTAACATGGTAATGAAATGTGCTTTTGACTGTGAAAATGACTACCGCTAAGGTTGTCGAAACGTCAGTCAACAACAACAAAAACAGTCCTTCTCAGGACTATACCAACCTTGACGATCTACATGTACAAACATGTAACGACACTTCCGGGTTCAAACCATTTACTTGAAATGTGCATTGCTTACAGTAATAATTATTAAGTAATTAAATTATCATCGTATATTAGTAATGGTAATATTACAGATGATTAGTGATAGAAAGAAATGTACTGTAACCAGTGGCGTAGCTAAGAATTTCTCTGACAGTGCAGATAGATAAATTTTCCTACAACAGGGCGTGGTAATTTTGGCGTGGCTAAAAGAAATGTATTTTTTAAAAATGGGGTTTAAAAACTGTGTACAAATGAATATATATACGGATATACCATTTTAAATAAACCAAGTGCAACAAATGTGAAGTAACAAATAATTATTGAAAAAATCTTCTAGTTTTGTCGTTCATGAAAGACACTTGAGGTTCTCGAATCGAAATTTTTGAAATAATTTCTCGCGGTTGATGGAAATACATGCAAAATTCGAATGGCGTTTTTCTGTCATAGTACTGCCTATATGTTTTATATCGGAAATAATTAGTGACTTTGGAGAATAAGGAAATTTGACGGACACTGAACTTAACACGTGAATATCTTTTACAATTTCCTACCTACTTGTAAATTACTGCAAAGAATATGATAAAAAAAACTTTTACAAATGGCACACAATCTATAGCTATTAATTGTATTGGTGAGAATGGATTTAAAGTCCAAATATATTTTATTTTTGTTGTACAATTGAATAAATAATCACTTTCATCACTGGCGCTGAATTTTTGTGAAAACAATCAAAAAAAATTTTATCCAATCTGAATGAATGAGAAAACAATTTTAGCCAATCTGCATCGCGTTTTTGCATTCAAAAATTTGACCAATGCTTAGATAAGTGTCCTAGCATAGGTTTTGAGAAATATTTGGTACAAAACCTAAAAACATTCGCATTTTTCATATGCATGGAAATACATTTTAATGTAAAAAAAACTGCAAAATGCAGTAAAATTATTCATGGCAAATGAGATGTATTTTTCGTAGCCTTCCATGTACTTATAAGATATTTATGGTTTTGTGAAAGTGTTTCTGTTAACAGTCGTTAATTTGTATTGAGAGTTGCCTACCTTGTCAAAATATAGGACCTTTAAGACCATATAAACGTGTAACTCACGCGAGATGTCCACGTAACAAACATTGCATATAAATCAAGAAATATACTTACTACATATATCGATTGTATAAAAAACATAAACAGATTTCTGGGCCGCCTATGGTAGGACATGCAATAATAGAAAGTTTCTACCTGTGAATGAAAGTGAACTAATATCTTTTACGATCTCAGGGCGAAGCTGCCAAATTCTCTGTTGGTCCTTGTACAATTCCTCGTCAATGATATTACTTATAGTACTCTTCTCATAACACTCCATCCGTATATACAAATTTTGCAGAGAGCACTTTGAATCTTATTGCAAATCTCTTGTGGTGATTGCTTCCTCTTCACTTTCGAAATCAGATTCATTGTCCTAAAGCAAAGACACTTGTATGTATTTTTTCATGTCTTTAGCAAGATCATGAATAATTCCCACTACTATATACCACGTGAGCCAACGACCTTTGAAAGTGTAAGTATGATGTATCGATATTTCTTTTGAACAATATCTCCAGAAGACTCGGTGTTGTTACTCGTTTGTTTTGGTATTGGAGCCTCGTCTTCGCCAGAGCTATAGAACTATACAATAATGAGCTATAAAAATTAAACAAAAGTTGCTTATAGAGCATACTCCTTTTTTGGCTTTATAGTATTTTATCTATGAACGGAAACTAACATCTGCAGTGCACATTTTTCTTTTAGTTTGTAGAGACACTTGAAATAGTTGACCAATTTGAATAACGTCAAAATAAACATATTTTTTTCCGGGGTGTTGTTATAAGGAATTAAAATAATTTGGTCTGTTATTTTCATTGTAAATGATATTTCTTCGAATTGTTGAAACAATATTTTGTTGCATATTTTTTCTGACATTTTATTTCTGCAATTACTGCTCTTTATCTAAAATATAATTAAAAATTATCACAATTTGTGTCCCCGTCCACAGAAAAGTACTTGTCTTGTGTTGATATCAAAATTCAAGAAGCCAATATTACTAGCACTTTAGGACAAGACAGTTTCTACTTCAGTTACATTTTTTCTAAACTGCAATTTGAGAAGTATAGAAAACAACTTGTCAGAATTCAAAAGAGAAATTTCATTGATAGTAAAATTGCCTCTTCAATGGTAAGTAATGAAAACATAAAGAAAACCTAAAATTCAGAGCCTATCACATAATTTAAGAACAATAGCTAATATGGATTAAACTTCCTTATGAACACCATACATTTCATTTATCATAGTCATGCTTGTACGTAATTCAACAGATAATGTAATACAATCTTTATCTTTTAAAATATTTAAAGCATTATAAAACATTTTTGTACGTTTTTTTTAAACATTTTCTGTAGTTAAGTCTAGCGCAGCCATACGTCTTGTATACATAGCTGCCATTTGTTAATTTGACTAATTTAAAATTCTTAAAAAAACTTTTACTGCTTTCCAAATCTTTTTATTACTTTATATTTATCCTCATGATGAAAACAATAGCGAATTCATTGATCGCAACAAATGATAAAGCTCTACTAATTGATATTTATGAATTTCTGGAAATGTATTACATCATATTTCCATTGATACGCCAAAGAAAATCGTAGCTACATCGAAAATATTTGAAGCAACCATCATTCGTATTTTTGTTCTAAATACAGATAACAAAAAAAGGTTTTTCAACTATCATAGACATTTAAAAATTATCAAATAAATGTAAAGTGCTTTACGTTTTTACGTGAGAATGATAGTAAACAAAAACTTGAATGCATGTGAGATAAAGAATATTTGATTGGACATTAAAACTAGGATTTATGACTGAGGGAAATGATAAAGAGAGAGAAGTACATAATTCAACAAATTGAATGGGGCAAATCATTATCAAACATCAATAAAGAAGTCATTCTAAAAAGTAAGGAATGCATGCAAAACAAATGATACATTTTTCCTCTCTTGTTTCTTTTGTTACAATTATTCAAAATTGCACGAATATTTTTGACAGATGGCAAATGCCTTTTAATTGTCTGAAACAAAATATTTGAAGAATTAAAACTTTTTGATACTTTAAAGTTGAATTCCTCTATTTAGTTCTTTAGACTTTTTTTACTATAGCAATTTTGTCGAAATGGTGATAAATTTCATTGAATTCAGAACTTATATCATTATGAGAGTTGAACTTCTGTATACGGCTGACAGATGTTGTAAACAGAATATCATGTATATCACGTAAACTTTAAGTCGAAATTTTTGCTCTGAAAATGTTTAGGGGGATGGGGGGTTGCAACCATTAATGTGTCTTTTTTGTCCTTATTTTCTGCATTTTTGAGAGAGGAAAGAGAATGAATACATTGAAATAAACTAATTTTATTAAAAACATAAGAAATTAAAATCATGTGAAATGGCATGTGTAAAGATAAACACCTAAGAAACTAGCCTTGTTTGAATTTGATATACTTTAGAAAGTTTCATGTTAGGTTAAGTAAAAAAGGGTAAAACATATTATAATGAACTATAAAAGTTGAACAAAAGTTGCTTATAGACAATACTCCTTTTTTGGCTTTATAGTATCTTATCTACGAGCTGAAACTAACATCTGCAGTGCACATTTTTCTTATAGTTTATAGAGACACTTGAAATAGTTGACCAATTTGAATAACGTCAACATAAACATATTTTTTCCCGGGGTGTTGTTATAAGGAATTAAAATAATTTGGTCTGTTATTTTCAATGTAAATGGTATTTCTTCGAATTGTTGAAACAATATTTTTGTTGCATATTTTTTCTGACAATTTATTTCTGCAATTACGGCTCTTCATCTAAAATATAATAAAAAATCATCACAATTTGTGTCCCCGTCCACAGAAAAGTACCTGTCTTGTGTTGATATCAAAATTCAAGAAGCCAATATTACTAGCACTTTAAGACAAGACAGTTTCTACTTCAGTTACATTTTTTCTAAGCTGCTGTTTGAGAAAAATAGAAAACAACTCGTCAGAACTTAAATAAGAAATTTCATTGATAGCCAAATTGCCTCTGCAATGGTAAGTAATGAAAACATAAAGAAAACCTAAAATTCAGAGCCTATCACATAATTTAAGAACAATAGCCCATATGGATTAAACTTCCTTATGAACACCATACATTTCATTTATCATAGTCATGCTTGTACGTAATTCAACAGATAATGTAATACAATCTTTATCTTTTAAAATATTTAAAGCATTATAAAACATTTTTTTACGTTTTTTTTAAACATTTTCTGTAGTTAAGTCTAGCGCAGCCATGCGTCTTGTATACATAGCTGCCATTTGTTAATTTGACTAATTTAAAATTCTTAAAAAAACTTTTACTGCTTTCCAAATCTTTTTACTACTTTATATTTATCCTCATGATGAAAACAATAGCGAATTCATTGATCACAACAAATGATAAAGCTCTACTAATTGATATTTATGAATTTCTGGAAATGTATTACATCATATTTCCATTGATACGCCAAAGAAAATCGTAGCTACATCGAAAATATTTGAAGCAACCGTCATTCGTATTTATGTTCTAAATACAGATAACAAAAAAAAAGGTTTTTCAACTATCATAGACATTTAAAAATTATCAAATAAATGT